ACAGGGGATAAATAAATTTTAAGAATTGGCAACAGAAAAGTGTATTATATATATCACTGAAAATAACATAGCACATGAATTTAGATATCCAGTTAAATTCTTTGTAAATATTACCTTATTCTTGGAATCAACACTTTTAATTTATTTATTATCTTTATAATACAAAAATTTGGGAATGGTATTTCATGTAATTATAGTATAAATACTAAAAATAATAGATCATTATTAATTATTAAATTCATATTTAGATTAATCTGATATTATTGACCATCATAATTATAAACATGAATTATTCAGTTTTAATAATCTGCGTTATTTTATATGCCGTAAATTGTAATCCCTTTCAATATCATTTCATTACAAGTGAAGGTAATATATATGATCGCGAATCACCCAATCGTACTATTGATAATCTGTCCGACAATACGGTCGCAACAATTATATATGAAAACAACGTAAACGTAACCGGGTAATTATAATAAATTATAATAATTTCAGTATTATTATTAAAGTAGGTTAATAATTACACATTAATGATCTAGATGGGCTAATCTAGAGCTCAAATCGTATAATACGTCCGGAAACGACAGTCTCCAGGCATATATGTCGGGTCTACTCGAAGGCTACGTAACGGGTGAACTCATTCACATGAGTTATCTCAACACAATCGACGGCTTTTGCGCTAAACGTAAACAGTTTTGCGACGCGTTAAAGCATTTTCATGAGACGAACACCGCTTTCATCAATACTATGATTAAAAATCACGCAAACGACGACTATTGGCACCAATTGGGGCTCATTTATGACCAGATCAGGGGTTTAGAGGACGGCTATATGTATTGGAAAATTGATGAACACGTCATTCAAGAAACGGACGAAACAAATGCGTTGAGCGAAATCTGGTGGTTAAACATACTCAATGAAGTTTACGAGCTCGAAGCAATACTCACACCCAACTCGACCACAATACCATATCGAGATCATTGTTCGGCCCTGGTCAAAGTGTTGCCCGACGGAAGTGACCTGTATGTGGCCCACAACACGTGGACCACATATAAATCAATGCTCCGGGTGTTGAAACAATATAGCTTCGCGTTCAATAGCCTAACGACTGGCGCTGTAATACCCGGCCATTCGGTGGCCATGTCTTCATACCCGGGCTCTGTCTTCTCTGGCGACGACTATTACGTGCTGTCGTCCGGACTCGTGGTTCAGGAGACGACTAATCATGTTTGGGACGCATCGCTGTTCGCGAGGGTACGGCCCGATCGGGTGGTCGTCGAGTTTGCCCGCAATGTTGTGGCCAATCGGTTGGCCACCGGAGGCCGTCAGTGGACAGAGATATTCGCGCGATATAATAGCGGCACTTATAATAACCAGTTTATGATTGTCGACTATAAACTATTCACCAGGGGCACGCCTGTCGCTCAATTGCCCGATGATTTACTCTGGGTATGCGAACAAATACCCGGCAACGTCACCGCGGCAGATTTGACCACGCTGTTGCGAACTACCGGCTATTATGGCTCGTATAATAACCCGTATTTCAAATATATACTGGATATTAGCGGCTGGACTGATATGGAGAGGAAAGTCGTTACCATTTATAATTACGACAAGACCGCTCGTGGTGTTATATTTCACCGCGAGCAACCTACCGTAACAGATATGAACACGTTGTATACATTCATGCGCTACAACGACTTTGAGCATGATCCACTATCCCTGTGCAGCCATTACAATCTGGATTGCAAGCCCGACTACTCTAGCTGTTTAACCATTGCGGGTAGGCTTGACCTGAACTCACCCACTGGTCACTACCCGATAGGAAATGGTCACGAGTATAGCGGGGCTATTGATGCCAAACTAACCGACACACAAATGTCGAGTCGGTTAGAGATGTTGGCCGTGAGTGGGCCCACACATCGCAATCACCCGCCGTTCCGCTGGTCGACCAGTGGTGCCGGCGCTGATGTGCGCCATATCGGTCACCCCGATGTGTTTGATTTCAAACCTATTTATACCAAGTGGTACCCAAACAAATGGTTTGTGGCTGACAATATTATTGATGGTTAATTAAATTATTTAATTTTGTAATAATTAATAATTATAGTCAATTTAATATTGTTTTAAAACACAATTGATTTTTAATCATAATTAATATAATTAGACAAGTAGTTAAATTTTATAATAGTTTTATATGTTTTATAAATAAAAAGTTATTTCTATCAACATTTTTAAAGATAAACAAAGTTTAAAATATTTTTATTAAGTTTCAAATGAGTTTTAATTTAATTATATATAATTTATCATATTGAATACTATGCAGTTAAAATTTAGAAGTTTATACATTTTTAAATAAATCAATTCTATAAAAATAGTTAAAATGTATAATAAAAATAATTGATTGTAAAATTTTACATTACTAACAATATTATGAATGGAAAGT